CCATTTCTGACACTTTGAAAAATGATATACTCAAATATATTTTCATATACTGATATCAAATTGATTTTTAAAGACGCGGCATCGATCTATTTTACTAACAAAATCTCACAAGAATTTGCAAAATATCACGAGAGTTTGTAACAGAACGATGAAATTTCACGAGATTCTGAAAGTAAAATAGATCGATACCGCGTTTTTAAAAATCAATTTGATATCAGTATATGAAAGTATATTTGAGTATATTATTTTTCAAAGTGTCAGAAATGGATTACAAAACTGCTATTTTCAATGACTACTTATTTTTGTCAAGCTTTAACATCTGTATCGATATCGGTTATCGGCTACATGAGTTTTAAAATATCAGCATATCGGATATCGGCCAAAATCCCAATATCGTGCATCCCTATTAAAAACAAAACAAAGAAAAAAATTAACAATGAATAGCAAATGAAGGGAGTGGTTATTTTTGTGCTCAATGTGCTAATGAATCAGCTAACGCATGTTTGAAACTGCTAATTCTTATACACACAAGTAAAACAACTTTCAAATATTGGCCAACAATATCGACCAGCCGATGTAACTGTTCGTCTCTAGTGTCTAACCATTTGGTAGTTGCTGCCGCCTGTTTAGTTTACCTCATGACAATTTTGGGAAGTACCACTATCTGCCCCAGGAGATGTGGCTTCTGCAAGTTCTTGATGACTAAAGGCTTCATCTCTGCAGCTCCACAATACACTACATCACAACCACATTCAGTCCTTGACTGGATAACATGACACGAATTGACAGAAAAGTTTTTGTTTTTTTCTAAAGAGATTATCTGGTGAAATGAGACAGAAAACAGATTTCCTGGTGAATTAGTGCATAGAATGAAATGAATGAATCGGTTGGTCAACGTCAAAGATGATAGAATGTGGTGGGAGTGTCATCTTGCTGTTCTAGCTAGTTAGAGGTGATGGAAAGGTGTATATATAGAGAAGAAATTACATTTTTTTCCTCATGTTGAAGTAAAAAAAGATCCTTGGATAATAGGATTAATATAAAAGCATCTTCAGTTGTTATTAGACTTGCACTGGTCAATCGTCAATGCTCAGAAATTGGCCGATTTCGCGTGATCGGCCACAACTGGCAACTGGCAGCCATGATGAAGACAAGCGATTTCAAAAGTGCGTTGCATTTTTGATTAGCTTCTTGGCCTAGGCTAGTTATAGAGGCTAAAAAGTGGAGGATTGAAGGAGCATAGCAGGAGAACAGATAAGTCCACTGGGGAGCAAGAGTGTTGAAGCCAGGTGAGAGGGACTGTGGGTGGCTGTGGGTAGGACAGTGCTACATCGGAGAAGTCTGCCAGGGAGACAGAGCTGGAAGAACCAACTGCTGGCCAAGG